GTGCGCCCTCAGCGTGCACGCGGCGTCCACGCTGTGCTCCGCCCTTGCTCCTCGTTTACCGCCCACAGCCCCGCCTCCAGCCGCAAAGCTCCGCCCCCGAGAAGTTACTAGAACTCTGCTTAGCAGCTCCCCACACAGCTTGGCGGACGCTAGTGGGGGTTCCACCAGGCCCCAGCCTCTGGGCTCGGCCTTCCCAGGAGTCTCGAGCCCCCTTGGGTGGGGCCTCTGGGCCCTCTGGGCCCTAGGGAGGCGCGCGGTGTGGCTCCGGAGCTCCTCACAAGGGTAGGTGCGCAGGCCGTCTGTGAACTGCGGAAGGACACCCACATTCCCTGCCTCCCCAGGTCACTCCCTGTGCAGGAGGAGCTGCACTCTAGTGCCTGCCACCACCCCAGAGGCCCGGTCCTCCCTGTGCCACGCCGCCCAGCCGGGCTGTACTACCTTGAGGCCCCTGAATGTCCAGAGCCCCACCTGTGGGGCCTGGGTGTGAGAGGAGAGACCCTGCCTTGGGGAATTGGCTCTCTGGGAGTGTAGCATAGGAGGGGTGCCAGGAATCAGTTTTCCTGTGGTGACTTCCCTGGCTCCTCCTGGGGACAGTGGCTGGAGGAGAAGTGGGCACAGCCCTTCTTGGGGTCAGCAAGAGGGAGCCAGAGCAGGTGCCATTGCAGGGGTGTCTGCCCCAGGTGCAGGGCATGACCAAGCAAAGCTCCTGCCGGTGACCAGTGGGCCTTGGGCTGGGCTCTGTTAGGCAGGAGGGGCATCAGCCGGAGATGGAAGCTGTGCTAGGTGTCAGGGGCACAGCCCACTGTGGCCAGGCACTCCATCTCTGTCCAGGCTGTGGGACACGGCGGTCTGCCCAGCCGGGACTGCGGGATGCAGAGGCCACTTGGAGGAGAAGGCCCCGGGGAGGAGGTGGTGCTGGGCAGGGGTCTCCAGCCTCAGATGCGGCCACACAGCTTAGGACTGGGTTGTGCAGTAGGTGAGGTGGGCAGCACCTGCCCTTGGAGGTCTGCAGTGTCCCGGAGACAGCCGTTGGGGGATAACAGCAGGCTGGCAGGGTCCCGGGGCGGAGTCACTCCCAAAGCACTATTCAGCCCAGCTGCTATTGGAGGAAGTGGGCGGGAAGGCAGATCCCCAACCCTTACCATCCCACTCCGGGGTGCTCTGGGCCCAGCCCCTCCATGCCAGAGCAGACCCAAGTTTGGATTTTCCTGAGAACGGCACCGGTGTGTCAAGTTTCCCATGGCTAACAGCCCTTGCGGTCATTTCCGTCTGTTGGCTCAGCAGTGCCACCTCCCTCAGGCCTGTGGGTGGTAGTGGACACAGCCAGAGGGCTCCGAGCTGGCTGTCTCTGAGTCCCAGGAGAAGAGGAACCTGCAGGAGGGACATTGGGCCAGGGGTCAGGTGCCAGTCCCAAGGGAGGCCAGAATCCTATAGGGACAGCATCTGACTTGGGGAGAAGGGACCTGGCAGAGCCCAAGGCCACCACAGACCTGGTGTGGCCGGCAGGGGGCGCACGTGGCCAGGCGCCGGAAAGCTGGCAGGAGAGGGAGGAGGCTGAGCCAGCCAGGCTTGGAAGCAGCGCTGCCAACCAGGACTCTCATGCCGCTCCCCCATGGGGCGGATAGCCCAGGGGGCTACAGCAACTGCACCTTCGAGTTCGACGACGGCCCGCGCACCCCCAGGTAAGGCTGATGCACAGGGAGCCCCGGGGCTGGGCTGGCATCACTGTGAGAGCCCCCAGGACCCCCAGCCCCAGGCACCAGCTGCAAGGTCATTGCCAGAGGGGCGGGGAGGACATGTCCTGTGCGTGTAGGAGGACCCCATCCCCTCCTGCTGAGCCAGGGGAGAGGCCGAGGGGAGCTCCTTTGGGAAGGGCTGTGCCCCCATGGTGAGGGTTTCTGGGCAGCCCCACAGGAAGATGCCCCTCAGGGGTGTGGGTGGGTTGTTGCGGCACGCAGGTTGCCTGTGTTTTGGTTCTCTGGTTCCCCAGTTACTTCTCTGGGCTCCTGCCAGGGTCTCCCATCCCCACGCAAGAGGGTCAGCTGAAAAGGGCAGCAGGTGCCCTAGGATCCGCAGAGCTCCTGCCCAGTGAGAGCCTGGTGTTGGGGCCAGGGCAGCAAGCTGGTGGAGGGGCCCTGGAGGGCTGGCACTGCCCAGGCGCCCCAGCCCTTGAGGAAAAGCCAGCTGCCGATGCCTGTGCCAGGGCTGGACACAGGTATCTGGACAGAGCCTGCCCACCACCAAGCTCAGCCCTGCCAGCAGAGTGGACCCCCTTCCCCTGCGGCCAGGGAAGGCAGTGGCTGGGCACACAGGAGGCGCTGTCCCGACTGTCCTCCACATGTAAATCACGGAGCTCATGTCTCTGAGGGCAACTTCCAGTGAGGGGCCAGGGTGGGTTTCCAAATGGAGCCTCATGGGCTGGGGACTCCCAGGGGTGCTGGGGACCAGGGTTGGAGCACTGTCAGAGAGTCCTGGGGAACCATGTGCAGGCTGGATCCCCTGCAGTAGGGTCAGCGGTGACAGCTGCCGGGCCGGGTAAGTGACCGCCAGAGGGTTCTGCACTCCCTTCTTGCGCCTGCTCTGGGCACGTCTGTCATTCATGGGACCTGAGGGCTACCCTCCTGGGCCTTTCAGCTCCAAGTTTGTCACCTGTGCCCCTCAGCCCCTTGCTGCTGCCCCAGCCGGAGTCGTTTGCCCTTAGGGTCTGGATTTCAGCCACTGTCCCCCCACCCTGGGACCTCGTTCCTGGGCTGGCTTTTGTCCTTCATGCTCACTGTCTCACTGCAGGGGGAGCTGCTGCCAGGGCAGGGTGTCAGATGTCCAGTGGACCCCCCAAGGGAGGGCAGGCTGGGGCAAGAGGGAAGGCCAGAAGAGGGGAGCCTGGCGGGTGGGCGAGTGGCATGTTTGGAGCTGGACCCTGGGGCCCCACTCCTAGAGCCTGGTCTTCCCTCATCCCGGGCCGGGCAGTGCCTCTGTGTCTGGTGGGCTCTGGCAATGGGCTGCAGGTTGGGGCAGGTGCTGAGACCCTACCTGGTATCACCCAGCTGTGCCCCAGCCCTGTGCTGGGGTGCACCAGGCTTCCAGGTCACAGGAGTCTTCATCCAGCCCCCACCTTCATGGCTTCCCGCCCTGAACCCCCTTCATAAGGTTTCTGGACTCTGCCCTCACTGCCCCTTTCTAGGTCTGGAGGTGACAGCTGCTGGGGCAGTGGGAGGGGCCTTGGCCAGGCTGCCCCCACCCCCAGCCTGTGTGATTTTCCTGGAACTGCGAGTTCCCAACAGCCTTGGTCCCTATGTCGTGGGACCCTCTGGGCCTGGACAGCCAGGGAACAGCTCCCAGCCCTGGCATCCTGCCAGGGATATCCTGGCCGGGCCCCCCAGGCCCATATTAGGGAGCTGTGCCCTGAGCAGCAGGAAGCAGCCGGGCCCCAGGGAATTGCTTGACGGCTCACAGTGGCCTGGCCCTGGCCAGCGGGAAGGAGAGCAGGGTGGCTTTGTAGGCCAGGGGTAGAGGGGTGCAGGCTGCTGCCTGTGGCTGGGGACAGCTTCTGCAGCAGCAGCAGCAGCTCAGGACAGCGGTGAGTAAGCAGTGGACGGCCGGCCCCCAGGGCTTTGGCTTCCATCTGGGCCCCGTGGGTGTTGCCCCACTGTGCTGTTCCTGGCCACCAGTCCTGTGGGCATCTCATCCCATCTGGGGCAATCCCATCACAACTTCCCATCTCCTGGGGCTTCCCCTGAGCCTTCAGCCCACCGCCCAGGGTCTCTGGTGCTGCCCAGCCCACACAGGGTGGTCTTCTGCGTCCCCGCAGACAATCTGGGGTTTCTGAAATGGGAGCGTTCACATCTGAGCCATGTGGCAGGTGTCCATACACACCTGTGCACACCATGTGCGCATGTGCGAGAGCATGGGGAGGGTGGGGGGGCGCCTGCCACTTGGCGCCCACCACCCATGTGACCCTGAGGTTGCCCACCTGAATGGAAAGGCAGGGTGGGGACAGATGAGGAGACGGGAGCAGCACCCTTCCCTCCCTGCCAGGGCGCAGCAGCCTCACAGCCCAAGTCCCAGGTGTGAGAGGCCATGGCTCTGCCCGGCAGCCCCAGGCACACACCTGCACCCATGCCCTTGCAGCGGCTTGGTTTGCCCTTTCGGTTGTGGTTGGAGGATGGGTTCTGTCATTGCTCAGAAGTGAGCTCAGGCCACTCTGGAGGTTCTTAGCCTTTTGTGGTCATCACCTATTTTGGCCCTCTTTTGGTCACCCTGGGCAGGTGAGGCCGTGAGTCCTGGGTGAGCCAGAGCCAGTACTGCCCAGGGAAGAGCCCACGCGTCTGTCACAGGGTCCTGCCCAGGGCCTCTGCCTCTGGGCCTCCTTGGGGAAGGGCTGAGGTCCTGCACCAGGCGGTTGCCGATGAGTCACCCCACAGCTCCTCTCTCTGAGTGGCAAAGCCAGGTGGGCAGCAAGCGTGGCCCAGAGCCCTGCTGTGGGAAGCTCCTCATTGCTGACACAGCACAGGCG